AATCGACAGGAACAGTACGAACACTGCTACTTCTTGGCGAGAAACCCCCAAGTCACAATACAACATTCCACCAATTAACGCTTTCCACGAGCTAGATACCACCACCTGCTTACCCATACCTATAAATATCCACCAACAGTAATCACAATTCACACAACATTCAGCCTTGATAATGGATGCAGAACGCATTCGAAACGCGTCGGCCAACTCATCACTATCTACAACTTTTACCGGTTGTTCTAACAACGTTAAGACGGCTTATCGACTTCTTGAGAAGAATTCTAAGAAGAAAGTAAACCTACAGACATCGGTCTTGTTTAACAAAATCTGCCTACAAGAAAATTTGTCACCAAAGTACACCAATATATATACATATATATTGTTGCGTCAGCGAGTCACATGACGCCACGTTTCTAGAACTATCCTGTACTTTGGCGAATGCTCTAGTATTTACTAGATATAGGGTAGTCGGGTATATAAAAGAGGGTGACAACGTGAATGTAACGTAATGTGTGTATAGACAGTGAGTAATTGAACTGCAGTCAGAGAGCACGAGAGACGTTACAGCGTTTGTTTAGCGCGATTGTTGAAGTTGAGTGTATCGGTAAAGTTATATTCGGAAAGAATAAACCAGTTTTATTAAGAAAGGACTTGTGTCGCTTAAGTTTCGTCGGAACGAAGTTACGGAAAATTATATAACAAACGGAGACGTAACAATATATATATATTGGTGACTAAGCAGGTCAAGTCAAGAAAAACGTCAGTCAAGAGAAAAGTTAGTGAAAGAAAACGTGAAGTGTGTTTGTTTGGAATTAAGCACAAATCTGCCCACCTCGGGTATCGAAAACCTGTTTCTAGCGTTGTAAGTCAAAGATACCGCTGTGCCACTGGATGCAAACATGAAGTTAGTGGGCGTGTGAGTGATTTGCCTTAATGGGTGATATCTATAGAGTGCTTCACAGTTGTATTGTAACAACATATATAGGGAAAATAACTTGTCTTGTCAATTGGGTTCTAAAGTAACTGAACCAGTTTTTGTGGACTTCTGACAAAAAGAGAAAATGATTTAAAGCTCTGGATACAACTGTGGTAATCAACAAAAGAAGTAAAGTTCAGTCAGAAAATGTTAAGTTAGTGAAAATGAAGTTAGACTGCGTTATTGTTAGTTGAGCCTCAATAGGCGATATTTTAATAAGAGTTTCACAGCTTAACAGAGATAAGGAGAATAAGTTGTTTTGTCAAAGGGTGTTCCAAAGTAAGTAAACCCACCTGTGTGGACTTTGACAAAAAGGAGACAATTTTTTAAAGTTCTGGATACAAATGTGGTAATTCACGGGGTAACGTAAGTGAATTTATCGCAAATCGCATAGTAAGAAGCAGAGTATAGAAAAATAATTCGTCCTTGTCAATTAGATTCTAAAGTAACTGAATCAGCCTGTGTGAACTTTTGACAAGAAAATATAATTATTTAGAGCTTTAGATACAACTGTAATAACCTACAGTGTCAAGAATTTTTGTGTACATACGTTTGACTTGTTTCGAATATATTATTTTAAAACAAATGTATTGTGTGCTGTCCGTTTATTGTTCGAAATTATCGCCAACAAGTCACAGACACCTACTGTAAAGAATCCAAGCCCATATATATAAAACCCTGACATTTATATTAAATGGTTTATTTTTGTACATTTATGATTCTGTTTATATTTCAATAGTGTGTATTCGTGAGTTTAATTTGTTTTAAACTTTGAAAAGTAATGTCGGATTCAGGATATTCCTGTAACAGAGGGAAGAGGAAAAGCGTGGTATGCTAAAATGCCACATGTTTTCTACTTTCTTACTTCAAATACAAGTTTTCAAAAACATTTCATTTACAGATGTATGTATAGTTTTACATAACAAATGCTCAAGAAACTCATTGACTTGACTTTATTTTAGCTACCTTTGTTATCCGTCACCCTTTAAAGATAACATTTGGCCTGTCCGTGAAATATATGCCCCTAAGGATGTATAATGGTCCATAGCGGAATTCTACTTTGGTAGACCATGATATATCTCAAGGTTACAACTTCCCTAATGTTTTTAACGCTAGTCATTCTGGTAAAATATGACTTACTGATTCAACTAAGTAACGTGAGATTTAGTCAGTATGGAATATCATCTTGAGTAAGTCAGGCAGCTTTGGTTTGGCTGTAATGCTGTATGTTATGCAAGAATGTAGACGGTAGTCTAAAATAAAGTTTTTAGATCCATTCTAACGGAGTAACAAATCTATATAGAAACAAATTTCCACATTTTCACATTTACAGTTTGTGGCCGTGAGTGTGTTATAAGAGTGACGGCCAAATCCCAGTACTTGGTCAAACGAGAATAACTCAAGAGCTGGCTGTGGGTGCTGTTGATTAGCTTCCTTCCCTCTAGTCTGTCAATGAAAATCAGGGAAGCCTATGCACAGATATCCTTTTGTGTAGCTTTGCAAGAAAATTTTCTAATTAATTAATTTTCACTTAATTTTTGCCTTGTTAATATATATATGTATATATTGTACACCACACATAGATTTTCTACAACAAAAAATAATTTATAATTATATTTAATCAACAAACTTAGTTCAGATAAATAATAACATTAAACCTGAAGTTCTTAACTAGGAGATGGGTGTGAAAACATTAACTACAAAAAATGTACATGACTTAAACTGTCACTAGATGGTAGTGTAAGTTTTAATTTACACTACACATTGTGACTGTTTTATATAGCTATTGAGAAAAGTTCCGGGGGAATCAGGCCTGTATTAAATTTAAAGAAAAAACAAAACATTTTTATTTAGCCTTAAACGTGTTTTTAAATTTAAATTAAACCAATTATTTTAAAAGTAGAAGCGAGACAACTAGTGCACGTGACAGAATGGTAAATCAAATCTTGTTCTTATGTTGCAAGTGAGATTTGCAAGTTAAAAAGTAATATCTACAACATTATAATTTATATATATATATATACTAATTATATATAGAATACCATACATTGCATTACACACCCTTCGTGAAGATAGAAGCACAGAAAACGGTAAGTTACTAGACTTATTTGAGTGTTGGTTAATTATGATTATGTTCCCGATGACCTGTTATTTTTTCTCAGTGCAATTCTACAGAACGAACTATTGACTCTTCAAGTTCAAGTAGAGCAAATTTCACTCTGTCTATCGCGAGAATCAAACCCAGATTTTTGTGTTTTAATTGTGTAAACTTACCATTCACCCACTGAAGTTTAACATAACATAATAATGTTTGGGGACAACAAGGGACCTATTGGACCATCTAGATTTTTCCATCCTCTGAACTGAACTAAAACTATTAAATTAATATATATATATATATATATATAAAATAAAATCTCAAAGCCTGCACTTATCATGCATATAGTTATCAAGCCTTCTCTTAAACTCACTTAAATTTACTGCCTCCACAACATCTAAAGGCAACCCATTCCAAAGGCCAACAACCCTGTTAGAAAAATATAACTGTTTTAGCTGAAGATGACTCCTACCATGCCAAAATGTATATTTGTGTCCCCTACTTCTACTGTTCTCACTGATAAGTATGAAAAAAAGATGATGCACCAACACTCTAAATTCTCTTTACAATCTTAAATACCCCAATCAGGTCCTATCTAACTCTTTCAAGAGAAAACAATTTCAGAGGTCTCAATCTCTCCTCGTATGACAACCCCTACATCCCAGGCACCATTCTATTAGCCATCTTCTTAACCCTTTCCAACAATTCAATGCCCTTCCTAACACAATACTCAAAATGTGGCCTAATCAGTGAAATATACAATGAAATGTGTAACCTCATTAAACTTGTATTCAATATTTCTGCTGATACAATCTAAAATCTTGTTTGCCATACCAGTAGCAACAGCACATTGCTTGGATGGCTTAAGAGACTGATCACCCACTACACGAAGATCACTTTTTTCATAACACTGTTAAGGTTATTCCCATCAAAATTTTACTTTTAATTCAAATTCTGATAATCCACATGCATTATCTTGTGTTTTTTTATAATTAAAACCCATCTGCCATTTATTCACTCAACTCACTAAAGGACCTAAATCTTTTTGTAAAACAACATCATCCTCCAGAAACACCCAAGACCTTAATATAATTAGCAAATTTAAGTAATTTATTGACCATTCCTTCATCTATATCATTGATGTAAATAAAAATAAAAAAGGTTCTAAGACTGATCTCTGAGGTACTTCACTTGTGACATTAATCCAGTTTGACTGAACTACATTTAACAACCCTCTGCTTTCTTCCAGCCAGTTTTATATCCAGTTAGCTAACTTATCCCCCACAACTATAGACGTGATTTTTTACAAACCTTTTAATTGGCACCTTGTAAATCTGCACCTTTACCCTCATCGGCTTAAGCAGTAACCTTTTCAAAGAATGCCGAAAGATTGTACAGCAAGATTTTCTCTCAGTAAAACTATGCTGACTATCCAATAAAATTCTAAACTTTGTTAAATGACTTTGCAAAGCATCTTTTATCAGACTTTCCAAAACTTTTCCCACAACTAATGTAAGACTAATGCTCTTCTAATTACTAGGACAATTTTTATCTCTTCCCTTGAAAAAAGGAGTAACATTAGCCAACTTCCAATCCTCTAACACCTGCCTATTATTTAAGGGCTTACAAAAAATAGTAGCAAGTGGCTCACATATTCAATCCTTAACTTCCTTCAAAACCCTAGGGGAAATATTATCTGGCCCAGGAGCCTTAACATTCTTTAAACAGTCCAATTTGTCTTAACAAGCACAGAATTAATGTTTCCATGTATCAACTGTTTAAGATGAGAAATATTGCTTAAATCTTCACTAATAAAAACTGAGGAAAAAGCAGGATTTAATAACCCAGTCTTCTCATAATTATTAGATACAAGCCTTTCTTTATTATCCCTCAAAGGACATGCTCCATCCTCACAATTTCTTTTTCCTTAATGTATTTAAAGAAATCCATACTGTTAATATTTACATTTTCAGTCAACTTTTTTTTTTCATACATCCTTTTTGATGTCCTAATTTCCTGTTTGACCAACTTTCATTGATCATTTCTTAAATTTGTGATGCTTTTCTTTAATTTTATCCATTATACCCTTTGTGAAGTAACTTGGTTTTTTATTTGCAGTCACTCTTTACTTTCTATAATGAATATGTTTATTTTGAATATTTGAAAATTTATCTTTAAAAATTTTCCACATTTGATCAATGTTTCCAAATAACTCATCTGCCATATTCACAACAGATAACTCTTGTGACATCCCTTCAAAATTAACTTTTTTGAAACTTGTAACCAAAATATCATTATTCCTGATCTCCGTATGCAACAAAACATGAAACCTAATAGAGCAATGATCACTTGCACCCAGATCTTCCCCAATTTCCAACCTCTCACCCATTTCTATATTAGAAGTCAACAATAAATTTAAAATAGTGTTGTTTCTTGTAGGTTCTTTCACCAATTGCTGAAGAAAACCATCTTGAACAGTTTCCATAAACCTCTCTCTCATGATTTGACTAACGTTTCCCAATCTGTATGCCTGAAATTAATATCACTCAAGGAACGGAGTGTGATCTTGCTGACTAGTAACTTGTATTTCAAATTATATGAGAAATCTCAATAAAGCAATCAACTTGCATTTATAATGTGAAGTATTTAATTACACAGTTTTACAGGTTACAAGTAAGCTTGTATAATGTTAATTTGAGAAGAAAGCAAAAAATTTTAATTCACCAGAAGAAGTACAAAAGACATTTTGAACTTAGAACTGGCAGATGTGAATGTAAAGAGACACTGAACATGATGATGTGAATGCAAAGAGACACTGGGTATTACTTTTATGATGGTTGTACTTGTTGCATGGTTTATTATAACACAAACACTCATGTGAGTTGCTCTCAGGAACTTAAACAAAAAAAAAAACAATAAGTAAATTCTGTTAACAAAGAATATAGTAAATATTTGAAATATACTTGTTATATTACTAACTAGATTGATTGGGATTGGAAATTACATGCTGTATTTCATGTGCTTCTTAATATAAATTAAAATTTAACTGTGTTTCAGAAATGTAACTTTTTTGAAAAATTCAGACCCACTGAGTATTATTTGCCATTTATTTAATATTGGATGTCTGCTTACACACTGGTTCTGAGGGCATAATCTTAAAAATGGTCCTGTTTGTGGATTATATAAGGAAGTTGAATAAGGTTATTTTATTATTAATGAATTTAGGTGAATAGCATAGGTGCTACTTGCATTCTGTTTGTAAGCATAAAGTTTCATTAAGAAATTATATTATTGCTTCATGTAAATTAACAAGTTTTGTGTTATATAATAGTGATAAGAAAAAGAACTTGCATATTTTCATTCCCCATGAAAATCATGCAAAGTCCATTAATAGAACAATCTCCAAACTTCAACATTTGCTCCTATTGCACAACAGTTGCTTATATACATGCAAAAAAAAAAATTAATGTGATCTTAACTCTAAAAATATTTGCTTTATGCATTCAGATTTCGATACTTATCTAAATTTGTATTTTATACTTATAAGGTAAATATAGATGTAAATAAAAACCTAGCCTTCCAAGTTTCTCTTGAGTTCTGAATTTATTCTATTCCATGGCTACTCTTAACATTAGAATTAGGTGGACATTTGCCCACCTGTAAAAATCTGATTACCCACCTGAAAAATACAATATATCCACAAGAAGAATATCATGATTACATAGGTAAACTAGGAGAAAATGGACCTTTGAGTAATACGTCCTTCACTGCAAGGTTGTACTCAAAGTAAAGAGTTCTTATAATGTCTTGTGATATATCTATTGATTTAACTGATTAGTCATTCAAAGGTAAATTAATTTCAAACCCATAAAGTTCTCTTGCAATATTGTGTTGAACAAGGTGATGATACAATATGGATGTGCTAGTTTTATTATCTGGAATAACTGTTCTTCTTTAAATACACATTTGCCAAATGTGCAGTTTTTACCTTAAATAGTGTGATAAAGCATATTATGAGAACTGCATATTTTTGTTGAACTTATAAATGATATCATATATTATAGATCTATTTATCTACCAACCATCTTTAATTCCTTTTAGTAGGAGCACTGTCTTGTAAATAAAAAAAAAAACATTATGTGAAAAATACAAAAAAAACATTGATCCATTTATATTAAAAATGTAAAGAAATAAAATGAATAAAATTTGTCAAAAATGGAAAAACCTTTAAACATTAAATTTTTTTTGTGATTAATTAAGTTAACTTTCCTATAACATGAACAACAAGGAACGGTTCGGTCCTTCAAAGCTGTCCTTGAGGAGTGGAAAAGTTTCAAGCTACTCTTTAGATTTTAGGAAATCTTGTGTTCTTTTCTTAAAATTCATGTAAAGTACTGGCCTACATTACTCTCTATAGCAAGTCATTCCATAAGCCAATCATCATATTAGAAAAATAAAATTGTCCTAATCGAAACCTATTCTGCCTTTTATAAATCTTATACTTTGTCCTTCTATTATCTTAACAATGCAGCACAAAGAAGTCAGAGGCATTTATACTATTAATCTAATACTAATAGTCTTGTAAACTTCTATAAGATTGGCTCTTATTCTTCTTATATTAAGTGAAAATTTAAGAGAGCTTAACCTATCTCTATTAGATAACTTTTCCATTTTAGGAATTATCCTATTATATTTCACTGAACACTTTCCAATAAATCAATATAAATTTTTTTGGACTAGACCAAAACTGCACAAAGCACTGAAAATATGGCCTAACTAGTCATTTGTATAGAGAGGTGATTACCTTGTTTTCTTAAACTTGTAATTAGTATGTTTATAAATGGATCCTAAAATTCTGTTAGATTTATTACTGGAAACAGAGCACTGCTTTTATGTCTTGAGTAACTTCAGATAACCTACATACAACAAGGGACCATTTGATGCTTCAAGGCTGCCTTTGAACATCACCCTTGGGAAAAGTTAAACCCATCTTTTTCTTCAGTCATGCTATTGAGAGTGTGTTCCCATCTGTATTAAATATATGATTAAAATTATGATAATTCAAATGCAATATTTTACACTTACTATAATTATAGGTCATTTGTCCAACATATCATTTTATCCAAATCATTTTGTAATATCTCAACATCCTTGAATATCAAGAGTTTGAAATATTTTCATTAGCAAAAGCACTAATTTACTTATTGTACACTTATCAATATCAAAGAAGAAGTACTGCACTGGTAACAAGGTCCTAGTTTTACTGGACTCCATTAATCCAGTCTTTTGCTTTCTCTCATCCAACCTCCTTCAATCCAATATACTAGTCTTTCCTCAACCTTTACAGATGTGATTTTCTTAATTAATCATTTTGTGTAGCATCTTATCAGAAGCTTTCAAAGTACACCAAGTTCACACACTTTCTATTGTCTTGATAACAAGTAACATCCTAAAAATAAAGATGAGAGATTAGTAGGGCAAGATTTTCCCTTTGATGATTTCATGTTGGCTCTCTCTTATGTTATCATATTTCATTAAATGACTTTGTAAAGATTCATTACCAGACTCCATAATTTTTTCCCTTCAAAGAAGACTAACTGGCCTATACTGAGGTTGAGGTATTATATTGTTATGACTGCGGAAGTCACATGATGCTGATGAGTTTCTCGAATGATTGGGGAAGTCCAAGTGTATTCGAGATGCCCTCTTTGTTAGTATATAAGCCTGGCAGAGAAAGCCAGTGGAGACGATAAATGAAGAGAGAGAGCAGTAGTTACTTTGAATTCCGTGTAATTTATGATTCAGTTAGTTTCGAGCTAGTGAGCCATAAAGTGTGTGTTTTGCACTCGTCGAGAGTGAAGTTATCGAGATTGTGAATTGCTGTGATTTATAGCGTGTATTATAAAAATTGTTATGTTTAAAGTGACGAGAAATGTACTGATTGTCGAACTATTTTGTACTAAAAGTTTGTATCGAGGAAGAAAAAACTGGTTTAATCAAGAAAAGAACTTGTATCGCTGAAGATCCTCGGGAAGAATTTCTACCGGAAACAAACAAATGAGCAGAAATGTAACAAATTGGTGTCAGAGAGTGGGATGGAAAAGGAAAGAAAACAAACAAGATGGAAACGAGAAGTGGCAAATTAAACTACAGCTTAGCAGATTTGATGGCAGCAGTGGCAAGAAAACCTGCAACAGTGGCAGCTCGAACAGCAAAATAAACAAGAAGAGAGATTACAGCAGTTGTTGGAGGAAAAGAAAATAAACAAGAAGAATGAGAAAATAAACAAGAAGAGAGACTACAGCAGTGGTTGGAGGAGAAAGAAAAGAAACTATAGCAGTGGTTGGAGGAGAAAGAAAATAAACAAGAAGAGAGGCTATAGCAGTGGCTGGAGGAGAAAGAAAAGAAACGAGGAGAGACTACAGCAGTGGTTGGAGGAGAAAGAAAATAAACAACAAGAGAGACTACAGCAGTGGCAAGAAAACCAGCACCAGTGGCAATTGGAACAAGAAAGGAAACAGGAAAAAGTATCCAACAACTACAGGAAAGTCAGCAACAGTGGCA